AGCAATTGTAGCTTTAAAGGGAAAAAGATTATAAAGATGTGCTAAATTCGTAAAAGAAAAAAGCTGTGGCATTGTGCTACTAACAAAATAGTACACAAACGCTGCGAGCGAGTTGATCAGCTGACGCAAAACCAGTAACTTCCAAACCTGAACCCCCATGTGGGATATCCCGATCTATATACAACTTAGCCTTTTTCACACCTAACAAAACCAAGAGATTTTGGAGATGAAAAAAAAACTTGCAGCAGCACATCCATTTAAAAAAGAAAATATAGCAGTTTAATCAATTTCATACAAATTGTGGCTACACAAGATGTTAGTGCATATTGTACATGACATTAATCTCTCTTCAGTTTACAGTAGCAAAAAAGTTCCAGGTTTAATTACAAGTTACAGAAATTTTAAACACCATTATACAATCATCTCTAGCTCACGGGCATATTCTACGACTTGAGAAGCTAGTTCAGCAGAGGGCAAACCATCATCAAGCTTCTGTTCTGTTGGTCCAAAATGGTACATGTTGTCTGGTCGCAGAGCCCATCCTCTCTGAAAGGCATACAAGTTAGATTAGAGAAATAAGTAGATACAAAATAATTATTTCAGTTAACTGTAATGTTAATAAAAGGTAAAAGTGAATAGAAATCTACAAATCCATACCTTATTCCCATATTCTTGAATAGCCTGCACCGAGGTTAAGTGAAGCATACGCGCAGCTTCATTCAGTGTCACTTTTTCATATGCTTTCTCCATGCAGGCAGAAATTTCCCCACGGATGGTGTCCAGAAGAATATCAATGAAAAAGTTGTAAGTATCTGCTGGGACATTGTCTCTCGCCAGGAAAATCTGAAAAATATGTGTAATGTTGAGAAAAAAATACCAGAAAGCTATTCAAATGTAACATGACTTTGGGGATGATATAGTAATAAATATTGATTTAAAAGGAAAATTAGTTAACAGCCAATAATTTATACAAATGAGGAGTAAACAATAGGAATATTGAAAATAAGCGTTTTACCTTATTATATGAACCTTCCATTAAGTACTGTTCCAAAGATACTGGATGCCTGATGTACACATTCTTCTGTATGTGGTCAGCGGGAAGTAACTCCAGTTCAGTGTGAAATTCAGCCACTCGATTTTGAGACAGCAAAAATAGGAGATTGAGACCAAGAAGTTGGTACTTAAATGGTGATTCCGGAAGGCTTCTGCAAAACAGACACATTTCATGAGAACACTTTGGCAAATCATGCACAAAGACAAGAAATTTCATAAAAATAACATACGATTTATAATCAAGATAATAGCATTTAAGCTGAGCAATGTAGCGTTCAAAAGCTGGAATATCTTTGGTTGCAATACTGTATTGTACTCCAATTTCTAGAACATCTCCTGCAAAATAAAACAAACATAGAACAAAATTCATTGGGGGAACCGGTTAAAGATTAAGTAACAGTATGAAACCTAATGCTACATGGATCGCAGGAAGAGTGAACTCACTTGCTAACAAAAGCTCTTGTTCCGATGGCTGAGCATTTGATGTCGGGAGAAAAACAAGGCTGGTAAGCCCAACCTAAAAATAGAATGAACAGTTATAAAATTATTAAGGTTAAGAGATGAATGACACCAATGATGAAAAAGTTAAATCAGAAATAGTTTTTGATTTAACTACATCTTACAAAAGGAATACTCGAATGAATTACAGAAGAGATTGTTTACCAATTGGATGACAATTTAAGGTTATGATTACGAACGAGCCATTTCCATACATAATATAAAATAAAAACAATAGGATGTAAAGAATATAAATTGAAAAGAGAAGAATTGATTTTCAATATCATTCATTCAAACTACTGGATAAACGTTATGGTAAAATTAAAAGAGAAAATGCATGTCACCGTTTGACTGGGACAAGGAGGGCACAACCGACGTCTCGGTGAGTAGACACAAGTACGAGTTCAAAACAGTTATCCTTGCAATTTTCACATACCTTGAGCTTTGATAAAAGTTCACCGCATTCTTTGAGATTTGGTGGCTTTGAAGTCCACTTGGTATGCAATTTTTTGTACAAAGCCTTAACGTCATTGACAGCAGCCGCCATGATGAACACAATGATTCTGCCGTGCTGCTGGCTGCGGGCGGGGAGGAAGGGGAGCGGGGGAAGCGGAGAAAGGGAGGGGGGGGGGGGGGACCCGGCCCAAACATGAGAAATTTTCCACTCCTTTCCTCAACTCAAGCAAGAGTCTAGGAGGCTGTTGACTCCTAAATCCACAATTTCATGTATTTCCATGATTCATTTAGGTTAGAATCTAAAGCTGATATAGTTTCTGCTAGTAAAGAATGGAAGTCTGTATGTGATCCACAACACTTTTAATCTCTGAAAAGAATGGGTGTTTTAAATCGTATTTGTCAACTAAAACGTATGAAGTCTGTGTTTTTGAAACAAATGTGTAGTGATAGTAGTATTAGTAATCCACCTTTAAGTTACTTTGAGAGATTGACGAAGATAGTAGAGAAAACTAGCAGCAAAACTTATTCTTTGAATGATGAAGATGTAGATCTAATTACTATGAGAGACCCAGATAGAAAAGAAAGACTTGAAATTTTATTATTGGGATTATATTTTAAGGAAACTGAAGGAGACCATCTACCTAAATTTGTGACGCTCAATTCTTTTCAAAAGGCTGTTCAAA